AAATAATTATTGGATTGTGCGTTATCAACGTCTCGATTAATCTTTAATTCTGCGAAACTACAATTCTCGAAATATGCATATTTCATATTGATAGAATTAAATTTATTTTCTGAAAGTTGGTTATTTGGTTTTTCTTCCTAATTCAGATTGCGCACAATAATGGACAATTTTCGTATCTGGTCGACTAATTTTCTCTTACGGGTTTAAAATTTTTAAGAAACATCAGGCGATTCCTATGAATCGATTCTACGCATGGAAACAATTAAAAAAATTGCATATATAACAGTAAAAGTACATATGTGTTCGACATATATATATATATATGTCTGAGAATATATGCATTTTCACGACCACCATGGCGGAGCATTCGACCGGAGGAGATTTAATGGCGACACGGCGGCATTAGTTTTGAAGGACATCGATCGAGAATGTTAGAGATTCGTGCTGCAACGGCAGATGCAATGTTCGCTGTATCTGCGCGTGTTCGATCGTTTTCACACGTCTTGCACGTTTATGAAGTGTTGCAATAGGAATCTCGGATAAGTAATTGACGCTTGGATCCCGTTCTCATGGACAGACCTGGGCACATTTGAAATGACGTTGTTTGAAATTTCAAATAACAAGTCATTCCGTTTCATAATTATTTCAGACAATTGTGAAATGCTTCTTGGATATTATCCTATGATCTAATATTGGCTGCGATCTAATATTAACTGTGATCTAATTGATAGCTACGATTGTATGTCTGGTTTATTCTGACATCCTCATGACGTTGACATTTCTGCAAGATTAAAAGGACCGATCTATGTTAAATAATTATCCAATGACGAGACATATTTTTCTGAAGATTGTTTTCTTTCGACGTTTTTTTTTCAATATTAGATATAACTCTTATATAGACTTCTTAAGAAAAGATCTCGCAGAGAGCAAATTGTAGTAAAGATTTTCTCGAATAAAATCGTTTCAAAGCAAATCGATGTAAAAGTTTCAAAAATCTTTCCGTTGCACATTATTTCGCGGACTGTTTCTTTGGTCATATTCGAAATAAAAAATAATGAAATGATTCATTATTTGAGATCGCTATTATTTCAAATGAATTGGTATTATTTGTAAACTACAAAACTACAGGAAAACACAGAAAACAGTCGCAACTTTACGTTAGAAAAAATATTTGTTGCATCTATTGCAATAAGCCGGAGTTACTTGGAGGCGCTTCACTCTTTGTTTAATAATTTGAATCGGTCGAGATTACTGTATCGATATTATTAAATATTTCGAATCGTTAGACAATTCTACAATTCGAGTTACAGGTACTTGTTTCTCTGGTAAATGCATAAAATCCGCAGTCGATTAACAAAAATCGACACGTCGATTTTTACGCATTGAGACAAGTGTTCGAAATCGTCTTCGAAATACCAAAGGACAGCAAACGGTGTAAGAAGTTTTATCATGGAAAGAGAATTTCATTGTTTCTCGGTTATCGACGTATCGATCAGCCGTTGATCGAGTGGGCGGTGCTGAATGATTTCTAGACACAGGTTATTCGTGACCGACTATTAGATCGCAGACGATCCGCGGCAGTGAAAGGGTCAATTTTCTCTGTCTTGGCAATGATCGCCGGAAGCGCAATCGATCATCAGTGATATCATCGATCGTGGCACATCTCGTTTTTACGAACCTCGTTCGTCGTGCTCGGTGATCAAAGGCACACGAAGCTTTTACCGGCGACTTTCCCTTTTCAAACGATCGCGTCCGCGTATTGCACTCGCGCGTGCACACGAAACCGCGTTACCAGCAACGCAAAAAAAATAAATAAATAAAAGAAAGAAAAACTCGTAGAAATATATTACGTCGCGCGAGATCGTGCACGTTTGATTTCTCGCGCGGCAAAAAACTCGGGCGCGATATCAAGGAAAACTCATCTTTCCGAGACACGTTTCGCGATCGCCAACGAGAGCTCGTTTTATCGCGGCCGGCCAACCGGAAGCGGAGCGGGATCGCGATAAACCGCGCGTACAAACGCTTCGAATTACCACGGTCACGATTTCTAAAAGATGATCGCTCCCGATAATTGCTTCTCCCACTGTTTTCGGTCGGTTTTCGACCGTGTTCCCCTAGAATTCGCCGTTCCCGATTCAAACGGTTACGCAAGATCGCCGGCGATCCAATGTCTCGGATACGATCCCGCGAGAAGTTAAGTGCGTTACGCGCGCGGCAAAAAAAGAACCGTGTCGCAACAGGGTATAATATTTTTCACGGTGAATTAGAAAGCCCGCAACCTTTCGATCGAGTGTTGATTAATGATGTTCGGCGTCGTGGATCGATCTATCATGAATTCGTGATCTCGGGGCCGTCGTAAATCGGTAATGACGCGCGCGGAGAGCTGCTTTTTCGACAATAGCAAACAATGCAACGGCTGGCCGATAGACAGTAATGTCTCCCTTACTGACGCTCAGATTGTCCACTAAAATGGAGAATTCGGGAAGAAGAGATACGATGCGGTTCATTTTTCTAGTTTTCGTATTGTCGACAACTATAAGAACGAGTTGCAAGGCTCGAATAATTGTATCTCGTCTTCCCAAATTATCCATTTTAGTGGACAATCCGAGCGTCAGTAAGGGAGCGGCTCGTTTTTGTAATTATGGACAATTTATAACTATAAAAATAAACCGCAAGGCTCGAACAATCGTATCTCCTCTTCCCAAATTGTCCATTTTTGTGCGCAATCTGGGCGTCAATTAGAGAGACATTACTATACTTTCTCGGCGTACGGACAAGCTTTTACGCGTTTCGAGAAGAAATGGGCAGGGCAACGTATTGCGCGAAAACTCGTAATCTAGGCATTAGCATCTTATCGCAATAACACTCGCAATTAGTTAGTTTTGCTAAACAGCATTCGACAGTCGTGTAACATTCGCAAACAAATGTATATGCAACGTGGATTCGACTAGTATTTGCAAACTTCGGATAAGTTGAAAGAGTGCGCACTCGGTGCCCCAGCGTTTTAATTTCCATTTCATCGACTGCAAGAAAGGATTCCTCGCGGTTCGGCTGGATTTCTCGCTGGATTAGCAGCGAAAGTGTTAAAACGACGGACGCCGTTTGATTTTCTGTTTGCGAATTTTAAAACGACGGGAACGCTCGTTCGAACGCGCGCGTTGTTGTTTGTTATCGATCCGATGCCGGGGAATTTCACGAGACCAGTTGCTGCGCGACCGTCTCCGTTATCTCGAAGCTTATCGCCGAATTGTATGCACGTGATGATACGCGCGGGTCGATAGGGCAACAGCGAGAACACTGGCGCGAGCACGCGCGTGGAAAGCGCGAGAGCGGTTTTCTTTTTTCTCGGCTGAATGAGACCTGAATTTTCTGCCGGCTAGAGAGTGCCAACGCGTGTTATGCAAATACCGCGGTCACTCGCCGATTTCTTCTCGTTAACTTGGTATCGTTAACGAGCCTTTTCTCTGGGCCGATTCGAAAACCTCGAAACAGAGGAATTTGTTCCGAGCAACGAACCAGGCAAATCGCCGGAGAACTTCGTCGATGGATTTTATTCCCGAAGGATCATGATACGATACAATAGACGGAGGATGTTCGTGTAAACTTCAGTCCACAGAAATCAGAACGTGAAATGAAGTAAAATTTAATAGAGAATATCAAAAGTATACATCCCAAAAATGTCTCGCAATCCGAAAGTGGCGGGTTCCTCAGGTCATTTGAAGCAACTTCTTCCTTTACAAAAATGTTCTCCGAGGCACCGTTAACGAGTTATTAACGAAAAACAGTGACCAATAAGAATCGAGTACGGCTGACGCGAGGCGGCCCAGCCAACCAGCGCACGAAGCCCAGTTCCGCTCATTGGCTCGGTCGCCTCGCGCCAGCTGAGCTGGGATTCGACCGCCTCGACCGCTGGCGCCGTTGGCTCGGCCGCCACGCGCCAGCTGAGCTCGCCTCTCATTGGTCACTGTTTTTCGTTTATAACTCGTTAACGGTGTATCGGAGAAAATTTTTGTAAAGGCAGAAGTTGCTTCAAATGACCCGAGGAATCCGCCACTTTCGGATTGCGAGACATTTTTGGGACACCCTGTTCGTCTTAACCAGTTGGCTGGATCTCACGAGTGTACTCGTCAAATTTTGATATTCTTTATTAAATTGTATACTTTATAAAAGTTTCGCGTTTAAAGAAAATACGAAGAAAATCGAACATTCGAATACGGTATAATTACGGTAATTTGCACGCTTCTCAAAGAAATTGCAACAGCTGAATGGTTGAAGGATATCCGATCTGTTAACACGAAACCTGCCGAGCGGTAAAATTGGATCGCCTCGCGTTATGTTATCAGAATGACAGTCATCTTACCATTTTTTATCTACAGTATACCTTACAATTAAAACATGTATTCAATCATCTCCTGTGAAAGAATCGTTGCAAGATCAACAATCTTAAAATAGAAGACGCGAAACCGGTCGAAACGACCGTCATGGTAGGTTTAGCGTTCAGCATTTATAAAATTCAATGGCCATTTGTATCCTTCTGCCATCTAACAGCGTAAAAGCAAGCGCGTATACCCTAATGGCTTCTGTGTAAAATGCAGACTAATAAATAAAACTCATCACCGAAACTTCCGTTCAACGATGCGGAGTAATTAGCTCGCTCGTATGTAATTGCGAAGTGATTTCTATTTTTATCATTTTAGATGAATGAGCAGAAATTACATTGTCATTAGTAGTTTTTTAGTTCACGGATTCGTTTAGCCCATTTTCATCGTGCAGCCTAGGCCGAGTTGATTAGATCCCCGGTTTAATGTCCTTCAGCGGTTCTCATTTTCGCCGGTGTTACGTTAAATCGGCGCGAAAGTGTCCGGCGAAAGAAGCGTCGAGCGTTTTGTTTTCTCGCGATGTTTCCCGCGTGCGACGCGAAATCGAAACTCTCCCGTAACAGTCTCTACGACACGTGGATTCCGATGATGCTCATTTGGAATTTGTTGTTTCTGTTGCAGAACAAAACCAGCCAGAACCCTACTATACAGTTCCTAGGAAACGAAGGGGTAAGTGGAAAATCACTTTCTATCGTTTGTACATTCACGTCGAGGACGCATCCGCGACATGCCCAGGCTTTCGTGCGTTTAATTGTTAATAGCCGACGACGATGCGCCGAAGCCTAATACATATATACCGGTCGGACGATAACCGGCAAGTTCGTGATTAGTAACGCAAATTAGGAACGGGCACATAATTGTTCCTTCCTGCGATAACGAAGTGCGTACGTCGCTCCGGTTCTCACGTAAAAGGAAGAAATTTCCGGGAACTGCGAGATCCTTAACGCGGTTAAGAATCGTTATCGTTGGCCTGTTGCATGTTCAACCGTCGTTTTTTAGCATTGTAAATTAGGATGTCCGCTGTCTTCCGGCGTTTTCCCGACTTCGTTTTACAAGACCGCCTAAATAACGTCGCGCAACGTCCATTATTTCCCGTAGATTATTCTTTAATTGTTATCACCCTCGTTTACAACGTCGAGACGACGCCTGGCTACCGTTCGCCAACGATATGCATGCAGCCTTGACGTCACACGTGTCTGTCCGAGCGGTCGAACTAGTTGCAATTACGCGAATTCCGCGAAACTTTATCGGTGAATTAATTATCTGATACGCGAAAAAAGAAGCGGTCGACGGTTTAAACTATTCGAAATTGCCTTTCGAACGGGGAAATCTGAAACGCATAGGTCACAGGTGCACGTCAGGTTACCGTCGGCACTCTTCTCATATTTCTCTGCCGGATCAGTAGAAAACAGGATCATTGGTTGCGGAGGAAAGCAAAGTTTAACGCGAAGATTACCGTGCCAGATCGAACGACTGATTTCTCGTTTCTTATTTTCAAATTCTTGGAGTTGTAAGGTCTGTTTCACAAGAAATGATCGAATCCGATATTAATCCAAGTACGTGTACGTTATGATGAAAATGGTGAAAAGTCTAATTAAACTCAGTCTGGCCGTGCGTACGAGGCAACGCACGTCGATAATAATTAGTAGACCGCGGATCTTTGTGCGGAATAGAGATTGTCTGCGTTCGCTGCAAGAAACTGGAGTCGCTTAGCGATTTTTATATTCTTTTTTAACGACTTTAACACGTCGAAACCGGTGTATTGGTATCCGTGAGATATTTAAATCTTGCCTCTGTCTTAAATTGCAGCTACTCATTTTCCCCATAAATGCAACGAAACCGCAATTTTTAGAAATCGGTGTTCGGTAGATTTACTGTTAAGATTGCAATCTAGGATTAGGTGACAGGTTTTGGACATCAAAGTTTCATACGTAAAAGAATCGCATTATTTTGGCCAAAATTCGGTTTTTTAACCCATTGACTGCCAACTACGAGATATCTCGTAGTGGATGCTGCAACTTTAGATTGGCTACAAATGGCTATTTGAGTTAGGAACTATTAGAAAGGATGAATGAAAAATGTATATAGTATAGAGAACGTATTGATTATCAATAAAAAAATACNTTAATCCAAGTACGTGTACGTTATGATGAAAATGGTGAAAAGTCTAATTAAACTCAGTCTGGCCGTGCGTACGAGGCAACGCACGTCGATAATAATTAGTAGACCGCGGATCTTTGTGCGGAATAGAGATTGTCTGCGTTCGCTGCAAGAAACTGGAGTCGCTTAGCGATTTTTATATTCTTTTTTAACGACTTTAACACGTCGAAACCGGTGTATTGGTATCCGTGAGATATTTAAATCTTGCCTCTGTCTTAAATTGCAGCTACTCATTTTCCCCATAAATGCAACGAAACCGCAATTTTTAGAAATCGGTGTTCGGTAGATTTACTGTTAAGATTGCAATCTAGGATTAGGTGACAGGTTTTGGACATCAAAGTTTCATACGTAAAAGAATCGCATTATTTTGGCCAAAATTCGGTTTTTTAACCCATTGACTGCCAACTACGAGATATCTCGTAGTGGATGCTGCAACTTTAGATTGGCTACAAATGGCTATTTGAGTTAGGAACTATTAGAAAGGATGAATGAAAAATGTATATAGTATAGAGAACGTATTGATTATCAATAAAAAAATACTGTAAACGCCATTGCAATATTATATCGGTAACTTAATATTATTATATCTTGTAAAACTTCTTGTTTTCTTTCAAATAAAACCATGGCACCCAGGGCAAGACGCGCTAAATTTGCGTGGTAGTCAATGGGTTAAATCAATCTAAAGATCATGCCGAAGATGCAAACTGTTCGTTGAAGTATCACGCGAGCGACCGTAGCAGCACGATTTTTCCAGCTGAACGAAAGAAATCTTTCGCAAGAACCTCGATCTACGTTCAAGCGTGGAATCGTTCCGAGAAATTTGAAAATTCAGAAGATCCTTCGATCACGCACGCGTCGGGATAAAAAAGATCGGCCTCGGGATCCGCAGCTGATCGTCACGTGGATCCGTGCCTCCCGCGATTTCCGTGAACTGCCGTTTAGCACGTGTGACGTCGGCGAAGACAGAGAGGCGGGCGCCGTTCTCGGAAGCATTCTGTCGCGATTTGTTGCGGGATGCCTTCACGATTTGTTATGGAAACCTCGTTACTCGTCCTGCGTGCAACTCGAAAGTGTAAACTGCCGAAGCTTCCGCGTGTGATGCAACGCGGCCTCGCGTACGTTCCTTGCTCGGGCAACGCTATCGCGGCAAGCAATCGATAGAAAAGAATCGTTTCGACGATTGCGAAAACGGTCTAAATAACCCATTTGCATCGACGTTCGAATCCGTTTTGCTCGCTGAAACGCGCGACACCCTCGAGTGAAAATGCGTTCGCAGTTCGTTTCGGTTACTTTCGGCACTGTGAAATTAAGTCGAGATAGTCCTTTGACCTCTTAGCTGCGGATCATAAGAAAATGGGAATTTTACGTCTCACAATGAAAATATACTCCTTCTATGATTTAGGTTAAAATGCTTGTGAAACATATTCATAAATTTCGCGCGTTTTTGAATAATTTTCGAAAACTTGCCGACGAAACCGCACCCAGTATTGATCGACAAAACGCATACAAAATTGATCTTAAAAATAGATCGACGCTGCTAAGTGGTTAAAGGAATTCTTTTGCTAAATATCAATTTGGAAGATCTTAATTTACGAATTAAGTTATTATTATTATTATTATTATTATATTATATTATATTATATTATATTATATTATATTATATTATATTATATTATATTATATTATATTATATTATATTATATTATATTATATTATATATCATAATATATTATATATTATTTATTATTTATTAACGATCTTTATAAGCCCTTTTATAGCACAAGCTTATCGTACATCGATCGATATAAAATTTGAGACGCTGTACACGTTGGACGTGTAATTGATATAAAATTATTCACGATTAGCGCAGAGTGCAGAGATGCATAAAGATCTAAGAGACAGCAGAGAAATATCAGATTTGAATGGTCCCTCGGTTCGTTCGCAGTTCTAGTCCATTCCAGTTACACAATTTTGAAACCCTAGCGAGGTTCCGTTCCTATCGATACGAAAGAATTCGATGTTACGTGGCGACTTACCGGACGGTACTCTCGGCTCAAAAAGTTCTAAGTTCCAGAACTAAATTGCTGTGGTAATAGAAATATTTCTCTAACGATACCGCGCTGTTATCCTTTTGTCGCGCCAATTCGAGACAGTGTTCTGCGCATCGTTTTGCAACTTGCAAACGATACGAGCAACTTTGCCGCAATTTTGACTCATTTCCGACGAGACAGTTTCGACATTTAAGCGTTCACTTTTGTCATTGCTTTTGCCCTACGCCAAGGGACAAATTACTCCGGGACAATGAAGAACGGGGTGCGAATTAACGACGAATGTGTCATTTAAGGAATTGTCGGCGGCTAAAAGCGTTAATCCGAACTCTTATCTTCTGTCGCACCTGCGCAACCACGATTCGCTTAGGTTTTATAGGAACGATCGCAACCATTTACGCGATTAAAGTACGGCTAAAAATTTCGCTCGACCGTTGAATCCTCTCAAGCCAAACCTCGTGAAAAACAAATCTAATTATCCTTCTTGGGTAATACGCGGGCACGCGCGCGCGCGCGCGATGTCCGTCTCTCGCAGTGGCCGCTGACAGCAAAGAAATCAGTGCCGATCACACGTGACCAGGTTGAAAACAGAGTTGGGCAATAAGTAATCTGATTAATGACTAAATGTTACGACCAACGCGAAATCATGTTTATGATTAATGATTGCGATTACTAAAGTAATCGAGTAGTCATGATTAATGAATAACTTTAAGTAATCAAATACGCGTGATTAATGTATATAACTTTAAGTAATCGAGCAGTCGTGATTAATGAATAACTTAAGTAATCGAAGCAAATGTAACCGTTGGGTCACGATTACTTTTTCTAAGTTATGATCAAATGAAGGAACTTGGTATTACGAAGTTGACAATGATTTTCATAATAATATATAATAATAATATATAATGTATAATAATTTTCATAATAATTAAAATAATTCTTTTTAAAACATATGTTGATTTTTAATAGAATTATGACCAACGTATGTCGATTTTTAATAGAACTATGACCAACAAATGTCGATTTTTAATAGAATTATGACCAACATATGTCGATTTTTAATAGAATTATGACCAACATATATTTCAATTAACCAACATAGTCTTAAAAAAATGATTAAGTTTTCCTATATGTAGCAATGAAATCGTAAACGAGTCAAATTAACTCGCTCCGGCGATCCGGGGTTAAAAGTCAGCACCCTCGACCAATCGCGGCGTAACAAACTTTCCTTTTCCGCAAGAAATGTGGAAAAAAAGAAGAACGTCTGCGATCCCGCGGCTTGGGTAATCCTGCGATCCATCGCTGCGGCGAACCTATTAGCCGAAGCCTGTCCGCTGTGTATCTACCATAGGATAGGTTAAAGGTCGCAGATAGAGGGCAAGTGTTCCGGCGAAGACGCGTCGGGAAAATGATCGAGAGTGAGAGGTGAAGCGACCCGTCATCGGAGCACACGATCGCGAT